AAAAAAAAAAAAAAAAAAAAAAAGAACATCTTGTCTAAGCATATCAATGTACAATTTATTCACTAATTTTTTTCATCAGATACTTAATGAGTGCCTACAGAGATGCATGACACCATGCTAAGCTCTGGAAACAATAACACACAAATTTAGATGTAGGGCTGCTTTCTTCATTATAATTTTGCCCCCATGTAGGCTTTATAACTAAGAAAATACGTTGAAAAGCTAACATAAATATTCTCATCTATTTGTTAGCCATTCATTCATTCATTCAATGTACATGGTGTTATGGACTGAATGTTTGTGTCTTCCAAAATTCATATGTTGAAGCCCAGACCCACCATTTGATAGTATTTGGAGATGGGGCATTTGGATGGTAATAAGGATTAGATGAGGTCGGGAGAATGGAACCATTAAGAGGAGATTAGTTCCCTTATAAGAGACTCCACAGAGCTTCTCTCTTCCCCTCCCTCCCCACCATGTAAGGATGCAGTGAGAAGTTGGCTGTCCAAAATTCTGTTATTTAAGCCACCCAGTCTGTGGTATTTTTTTATTGTAGTCTGAATAGATTGACACATGAATTGAATTTCCAGTAAAGCCCTGTGATTACAAAGATAAATCCCAAACTTTGCCCTCAAGAAACTCCCAGTCTCAAAGATCTCAAATATATAAACAAAGAAATATAATGTGGGCTGGGCACAGTGGCTCACGCCTGTAAGCCCAGCACTTTGGGAGGCTGAGGTGGGTGGTTCATGAGGTCAGGCGTTCGAGACCAGCCTGACCAACATGATGAAACCCCGTGTCTACTAAAAATTCAAAAATTAGCTGGGTGTGGTGGCCCATGCCTGTAATCCCAGCTACTCAGCAGGTTGAGGCAGGAGAATTGTGAGGTTGTGGTGAGCCGAGATCGCACCATTGCACTCCAGCCTGGGCAACAAGACCAAAACTCCATCTCAAAAACAAAAAACAAAAAACGGGCAGTTCTGCGGTCCCGCGGATCTGTTTCTTGCTTCAACAGTGTTTGTACATAACAGATCCTGGGACTCTTTCTTCCAGCTTCCGACCGCCCTCTGATTTCCTCTCCACTTGCAACCTCCGGGACCATCTTCTCGGCCATCTCCTGCTTCTGGGGACCTGCTAACACCGTTTTTGTGGTTAGCTCCTTTTTGCCGACCAACCACGAGCTCCCAGATTTGTCAGAATTCTTCCACCGACGTGGAGGCAGCCGTCAACCGCCTGGTCAATGCGTACCTGCAGGCCTCCTACACCTACCTCTCTCTGGGTTACTATTTGGACCGCGATGATGTGGCTCTGGAAGGCGTGAGCCACTTCTTCCGCGAATTGGCCGAGGAGAAGCTCGAGGGCTACGAGCATCTCCTGAAGATGCAAAACCAGCGTGGTGGCGGTATTCTCTTTCAGGACATTAAGAAGCCGGCTCAAAATGAGTGGGGTAAAACCCTGGACGCCGTGGAAGCCGCCATGGCAGGTGCCATGGCCCTGGAGAAAAATCTGAACCAGGCCCTTTTGGATCTTCATGCCCTGGGTTCTGCCCGCGCAGACCCTCATCTCTATGACTTCCTGGAGAGTCACTTCCTAGATGAAAATCATCAAGAAGATGGGTGACCACCCGACCAACCTCCGCAGGCTGGCCAGCCCACAGGCTGGGCTGGGCGAGCATCTCTTTGAAAGGCTCATTCTCAAGCACGATTAAGAGCCTACTCAGCTCAGCGACTTCTGAAGGGACCTTGCAAAATAACAGGGCTTCTGCGTGAGCCTCTCCCTCCAGCCACTAGGCAGCTTTCTAACTACCCTAACAAGCCTTGGACCAAATGGAAATAAAGCTATTTGAAGCAAAAAAAAAAAAAAAAAAAAAAATATATATATATATATATATATATGGTGTGATAACCTTAGCAATAGATGTATGGTCTAGGGATACTGGTGATATAAAGGATGGTGTGACTGACTCTACTTGGATGGGTCAAGGAAGTCTTTTCAGAAAAATAATGAAATTTATTTTAGGCTGAGGAAAAATTTTGCAAAATCATAGAGGCAAAAAGCAACATGATGTGTTGGGGATGGAAGGACTAGAGCGACAAACTAGTCAACAAACTACTTTTAGTAGTTCCTAAAACCTTAGAAATAGTGAAAAGGATTGCTCTCTGAAAATTAAATTAAAGCTGACTAAAGCAAAGTTTAAATATAGTAATTTAAAGATACAAATTTCTTCCCAAGCTGACTTGACAGTAAGCTGAATAATGTATTTTTTCTCTTTTTTTTAGAGATGTGGTCTCACTCTGTTGCCCAGGCTGGAGTGTAATGGCATGATCATAGCTCATTGCAGCCTTGAACTCCTGGGCTTATACAATCCTCATGTGTCAGCCTCCCGAGAAAGAGGCTGGAACTACAGGCGCATGCCACCATGCCCAGCTATGAATGATGTATTCACTGACCTTTTGTTCTCATTTTTAAGCTATCTCTTACAGGAAGGATATTCACCTAATGACAGTGACAATGAAAAGTACCACTATTTAACCGTAATTAGACTTTTTTTGGGGGGAGGGGGACCTCAGCAACATGGAGTTATTAGACTTTCTTATGTCCTACTTTTTTTGTCATTATGAATGGTGTTGCAATAAATTTCATCCTACATATAGATTCCATTTTAGATTAGAGTGCTAGGAAATATTTCCAGATGTAGAATTACTGGACCAAGAGGTAAGATATCACTAACAACTTGCTTTGAAATATGTAAATTACTGGGCGCTGTGGAGCGTGCCTGTAGTCCCAGCTACTCGGGAGCCTGAGGTGGGAGGATCGCTTGAGCCCAGGAGTTCTGGGCTGTAGTGCACTATGCTGATTGGGTGTCCACACTAAGTTCAGCATCAATGTGGTGACTTCCCGGGAGTGGGGGACCACCAGGTTGCCTAAGGAAGGGTGAACCGGCCCAGGTCAGAAACGAAGCAGGTGAAAACTCCCATGCTGATCAGCAGTGGGATTGCACCTGTGAATAGCCACTGCACTCCAGCCTGGGCAACATAGTGAGACCCCTGACCTCTAATTAAAAAAAAAAAAAAAAAAAGAAAGAAGTAAGTTATACCACTATCACCAGCAGAATATGCCAATTTCGCCACATCATCTCTCATGGAGGATTATTAATTGAGAAATTTTGCTAATAGGCTGAATCAAAAAATATTTATTGAAGTCTGGGCCTGGTGGCTCATGCCTGTAATTTAAGCACTTTGGAAGGCTGAGGTGGGAGGGTCACTTCAGCCCAGGAGTTTGCAGCCAGTTTAGGCAACAGAGTGAGACCCTGTCTCTACAAAAAATTTTAAAAATTATCTAGATGTGGTGGTGTGTGCCTATAGTCCCAGCTACTTGGGAGGCTGAGGTGGGAGGATTGCTTGGGCCTGAAAGGTCAAGGCTGCTATGTCACACTACTGCACTCCAGCCTGGCTGAGAGGGTGAAACCATGTCTCAAAAAAAAAAAAAAAATTTATTGATTGGGCAGGGTGTCTCACGCCTGTAATCCCAGCACTTGCAAAGGCCGAGGCGGGCAGATCACGAAGTCAGGAGTTCAAGACCAGCCTGGCCAACATGGTGAAACTCTGTCTCTACTAAAAATAAAAATATTAGCTGGGGATGGTGATGGGTGCCTGTAATCCCAGCTACTCAGGAGGCTGAGGCAGGAGAACAGCTTGAACCCAGAAAGTAGAGGTTACGGTAAGCTGAGATCATGCCGTTGCACTCCAAACTGGGAAATGAGCAAAATTCTGTCTCAAAAAAAAAGAATTATTATAGGTTACACAATGCAAGACATTATGCCAAGAGAGAGAAAAAAAATAGTACCTGAGTATAGTGTTCAAGTTAACATATTTGATTACTAGTAATATTAGGATATTTTTCTTCTTTCAAAAATGGGGTTTTGTGGCCAGGCGAGGTGGCTTATGCCTATAATCCCAGCACTTTGGGAGGCCGAGATGGGCAGATCACTTGAGGTCAGGAGTTCCAGACCAGCCTGGCCTACATGGTGAAACACTGTCTCTGCTAAAATACAAAAATTAGCTGGTCAAGGTGGTAGGTACCTGTAATCCTAGCTACTTGGGAGGCTGAGGCAGGAGAATCGCTTGAACCAAGGAGGCAGAGGTTGCATTGAGCTGAGATTGCACCACTGCACTCCAGCCTGGGTGACAGAGCAAGACTCCTTCTCAAAAAAAAAAAAAAAAAAAAAAAAAAAAAAAAAAAAAAAGTGTGGTGGGGTTACTATGTTATCCAGGCTGGAGTGCAGTGGCTATTCACACGCACTATCATAGTGCATGATAGCCTCAAACTCCTGAACTCCTGGGCTTAAGCAATTCTCCTGCTTCATGATGGATGTTTTATATGTGTGTTATCATCAAACACTGATGATGTACATGTGTATATATCATCAGTAGCTCTCATGATAGATTAGACAGTTAGCTGAAATATTTACTAAGTACCTGCCATGTGCCATTATTTTAGATGTTGGAGAATTTAGTGTTGAATACTTGCAATCAAAAATTTATATTCTAGAGAGAGGAAATAACCAATAAAAATGAAAATAAATGCATAACATAATCTCCCATTCTGGTACAGGTATGAAGAAATTACAATAGAACAATAGACAAATTTGGTGGAGTAGTGACTTTGGCTGGAATTACAAGGGAATTCCTTTATGAGAAGATGGCATTTGAGATGAGAGTTGAATGATTTAGAAGGTAGTCATGTCAAACTTCCAGGGAAGACCTTTTCAATCAGAAGGAATAGAAAGTGCCAAGATGCAGGACCCACTGTAAATTTAATGTGTTTAATAAACCTAACAAAATTCGGGCGAGGTCTTCCTAAAAAATAAAAATAAAAATAAACCTAATAATCAGAGTGGCCAAAGTGTGAGGATCAAGAGAAAGAATGGAGTGAGATGAAGTTTGGAGAGGTAGGCAGGGAACAGGTTGTGAAGGACTTTGAAGGGCATGGAAAGGCCTTTAGCATTTATTCTCATAACCAGGGAGGCCAGGCGTGTTGGCTCACACCTGTGATCCTAACACTTTGAGAAGCCAAAGCAAGAGAATGCCTGGAGTCCAAGAGTTAGAGACCAGCGTGGGCAACATAGTGAGACCTCCATTTCTACAGAAATTTAACAAATTAGCCCAGCATGGTAGTGCATGCCTGTGATCCCAGTTACTAGGGAGGGTGAGGTGGAAGGATGGCTTGAGCCCAAAAGGTCAAGGTTGCAGTGAGCTGTAATCATACCACTGCACTCAGCCCCGAAGACAGAGCAAGACCCTATTTCAAAAAAAATAGCCTCTTTTGACCATCTTTCCATGTCACCACAATGGTGTGCATGAATGTCCTGGCTGATGCTCTCAAGAGCATCAACAATGCCAAAAAGAGAAGCAAACACTAGGCTCTTATTGGGCTGTTCTCCAAAGTCATTGTCCCGTTTCTAACTGTGATAATGAAGCGTGGTTACATTGGAGAGTTTGAAATAATTGATAATCACAGAGCAGGCAAAATTGTGAACCCCACAGACAGGCTAAACAAGTGCGGAGGGATTAGCCCCAGATTTGATGTGCAACTCAAAGATCTAGAAAAATGGCAGCATAATCTGGTCCCATCTCACCAGTTTGGTTTCATTGTACTGACAACCTCAGCTGGCATCATGGACCATGAAGAGGCACCTGTACCTCTTCTTGTTAAAAATCCAAAAATTAATATGCTCATGACATATGGATACGCAGGACAGCTATAGCCATTCAAAACTTAGTATGGATTTAGCAGGGGGAAGAATCTATCTACATCTTACCTTTTAAATTTCAGTGAAGCTTCTTGCTAGCAGAATGAATAATAATTCCATAGTGCTCAGTATTACATTGACCAAATCAGAGTTTCTAAGCCTTGGCACTCTTGCCATTTTGGGCAGGATAATTCTTTGTCGTGAGGAGGTGTCTTGCATATTGTAGAATGTTGAACAGCATCCCTGACCTCTGTCTAGATCCCAAGCCACTAGCACACCCGAGCCCTGTTAGGACAACCCAAAATGTCTCTAGACATTGCAAATGTCTGCTGGAAGACAAAATTACCCCCAGCTGAGAACTACTGGCCTAAATGAATGTATACTTCATTCATGTGATAGATATTGTTCAATGATGAAAAATTTAAAAGCATTATTAGGTTTGTATAAGAAAAACCAAGATTAATGTTTAAGAATAGACACAGCAGGGATTTTAATAAAAACAATGGTCCTGCCATTTTTTATTTCTCATAGCAATACATACTTACAGAAGGAAAAGAATTGTACATTTAAAATTCTGATCATTACACTAATTTTTTGCAGTTGAATAATAAAAGAATGAATCTTTTAGTGATTTTTAAAAATACTTTCAAGGTTTGAAAATACAAATTATGATATAATAAACATTCAATAACTGGAGTAAGTTCACTTTCAAATGAGAGACACTTGGCACCCAGTAACAGTAATGAAATGCAACATCATTGAAGACAGCATCTCTAAGGAGCTCTGTCTGGAATCATATCTTTAGTGTAGACTCACAATCAATTCAATCTTTCAACCTACATTTTAAGAATTTAGCTTTAGGCTGGGTGTGGTGGCTCACCCCTGTAATCCAAGCACTTTGGAGGCCAAGGCGGGTGGATCACCTGAGGTTGGGAGTTCAAGACCAGCTTGACTAACATGGTAAAACCCCATCTTTAAAACACACACACACACACACACACACACACACACACACACACAAAAACAAACAAACAAACAAAAAAAAACCAAGAATTTAGCTTTAGAAGAATAACATGTGAATCAGTTTTTCTCTAATAAAGCCTCGAAAAAGTTGTATCCTGAGGCACTATAAAGAGAATGAAACTTTTTTTGTTGGTAATCAACAGCTTCAAATGTTGGTTTTCAGCAACAAATTATAAATATATTTTTATAAAAGGCCAAAGGCACAGTAAAACATTGAGTATTTATACTTCACCATTTTAGAACTCAAAATAATTCAGAACACAAAATAATCCAGGCGTCCAGCACCTAATCTGTCCTGTAGGTGGCAAAATTATCATAAGAGGAATCCAGGCACAGGAGTCAGAATTGCTGCATTGAAGTTAGTGACAGATGCCTTAAAGCTTTATGCAAAACACAATTTTTAATTTTTTTCAACTTTTATAGATTAAAGGTGCCTTTTGTATTGCTCTAAATTAACAAAGATTTGTCTGCATGGTCAACACCAATGCTTATGTTTTCATTTCTCAGGGGCTAGACTTCCAGTCTGAAGATAATTTTTCTTTTTATAATTATTTCTGAAAAATTCCTCTCCTTTTTCTCTTGTTTCCTAAAAAATAAAGCTTTTGCTTTATTTTTATTTATATTTAATTATTTATGTTTTTGGAGACAGAGTCTTGCTCTGTTGACCAGGCTGGAGTGCAGTGGCGTGATCATAGCTCACTGCAGAGTTGACCTCTTAGGCGCAAGTGATCCTTCCATCTCAGTCTCCCCAGCAGCTGAGACTAAAGGTATGCATTATGTCCAGCTTTTTTTTTTTTTTTTTTTTTTTTTTTTTTTTTTTTTTTTTTTTTNTTTAAGAGAAGTCTTACTATATTGCCCAGAGTCTTAAACTCCTGGGCTCATGTGACTGTCCCACCTCAGCCCCCCACAGTGCTGGGATTATAGGTGTGAGCCACTGTAACCAGTAAGGTTTTGCTTTATTGTATAATCCACCTAACTTGAAGAAAGAGAGATTGTGCAATTAAAAATCAGTTGTTACTTTTTAGCAGCTGTGAAAAGCAAACTTAAAACCGATATCTAAAAGGGAGGATATGAGGCACACTATATTTCATTCAGCTTTACATTTTCCCAATTATTTGTACTGGAAGGAAAAACTGTAACAAGACCTTTAAAAAGTTACGATAACTTACAGAAAATTTTGGGCACCATGATTATGACTATGCTTATATGTAAGGAACAAAGAAGTTTATAAATGATTACAGTTAAAAAGCTAACTCCAGTCAAACAACATTTTATCCTCAGGAGTTGATACCACTCATTTTCATGGCTCCTTTGCTTCCTTTCAAGATGGAGATACTAATCTATGTCCTGGATTCATAATTAAAGGGTCAGATATGAGAAACAGTCAGAGTCATCAAATAAACACTGGGGGCAGGCAGGGCCTGGTGGCTCACACTTGTAATCCCAGCTCTTTGGGAGGCCAAGGCGGGCAGATCACAATGTCAAGAGATCGAGGCCATCCTGGCCAACATGGTGAAACTCTGCCTCTACTTAAAATACAAAAATTAGCTGAGCGTGTTGGTGCATGTCAAGTAGTCCCAGCTACTTGGGAGGCTGAGGAAGGAGAATCACTTGAACCCAGGAGACGATCATTGCAGTGAGCCAAGATTGTGCCATTGAACTCCAACCTGGGCAAAAAGAGAAAGACTCTGTCTCAAAAAAAAAAAAAAGGGGGAGAATGGAAAAAGCAAATAAAAAACTTTTTAATTGTTTCAATTACCATATTGGTTGTGGTTGTATTTGTATTGTTATTCTGAGACAGTTGCCAAGTGTAGGGTAAATAAAAGAAATGAGTAATTGTGAGAGGTTCTTATTCTGTCATGCCCCATGTTCTTGAAAACCAGGACTCCCAGTAAAGAAGAATAGAGATATAGTTGTAACAAAATGATTAAATAAAAATTCTGTAGGTTGGGCATGGTGGCTAATGCCTGTAATCCCAGCACTTTGGGAGGCTGAGGTGGAAGGATCATGAGGTCAAGAGTTTGAGACCAGCCTGGCTGTCATGGTGAAACCTTGTCTCTACTAAAAATATAAAAAATAGCTGGGTGCGGTGGCATATACCTGTAATCCCAGCACTTTGAGAGGCTGAGGCTGGTGGATCGCCTGAGGTCAGGAGTTCAAGACCAGCCTGACCAATATGGTGAAACCCCCTCTCTACTAAAAACACAAAAATTAGCTGGGTGCAGTGGATGTACCAGTAGTCCCAGCTACTTGGGAGGCTGAGATAGGAGAATTGCTTGAGCTGGGGAGGCAGAGGTTGCAGTGAGTTCAGATCGTACCACTGCACTATAGCCTGGACAACAAAGTGATTCTGTCTCAAAAAAACAGAGAGAGAGAGAAAGAAAAAGAAACAACACACCATGACTTATAGTCTTGCCGAAAGGACTGAACCTGAGTCTTCTCATATTCAATGTGTCTGAATCTGAGCTGTTTGCCAATATCCAGAGGACAAGGGAATGTGCTGAACTGTGCCTTCAATGTGAAATCAGCAAAATACAGATTATGGGAAACTCTGTAGGTCCTAAGGTCAGGCAGTTTCTTCCCCAGGTAAATTTTAAAGAGCTGGAAAGAAGGAGGAGCTTATAGATTTTAAAAGACATGTAAAATAAAATATACATCTAATAACAAATTTAAATTCATAATACTAAAATACAGAGGTGCATTTAGGTGTTACAGCAGTAATCAAATGCAACAAATGATTACTGTTGAGGTCAGTCTAGTGGTTACTTTTGTGGAGTTATAATTGTGACTGGATACAAAAAGTACATGTGGAGTGAGTGGCTGAGTCCTAAAAGAGTATTTCCTTATAATAATGCATTCAGCTATAAATTTTGTGTCTGTTTTTCAGTACTTTTATTTTATAATTTTTAAAAATATTACAATCGAAAAAGAAATCAAAGCCCTTACGGTTTCCTATATACTATAAAGTATGCATGCAAATACTTCTGTAAATATCATCTGATGGTTCTTAAGAAATTGCCTATATTATAGAAATATTTCTAAATAGCTACAAATATTTGAAAAATACTAAATTCTTATGTATTCATAGTTATAAAAAGTCAAATAATTAAGTTTCCTTTTCTAACACAAAATTTATTTTGTTACAGTATTATGTAATACAATTTGGTTAAATGGGCTTTCTTTCTTTCTTTTTTTTTCTTTTTTTTTTTTTTTGAGACAGAGTCTAGCTCTGTTGCCCAGGCTGGAGTGCAGTGGTGCAATCTTGGCTCACTGCAACCTCTGCCTTCTGGGTTCAAGAGATTCTCCTGCCTCAGCCTCCCGAATAGATGGGATTACAGGTGCCCGACACCACATCCAGCTAATTTTTTTATTTTTAGTAGAGACGGAGTTTCACTGTGATGGCCAGGCTGGTCACAAACTCCTGACCTCATGATCCACCCACTTCGGCCTCCAAAAGTGCTGGGATTACAAGCATGAGTCACGGCACCCAGCCTAAATGGACTTTCTTGACTTCCAAAGTTTTCCTTTCTAACTCCCATACAAGATTATTAATGTTATTCTATTAGAGATTAGAACAAGAGCATTAGAGCAGAGTTCGTATTTCTTCGAATGTCTGCACTTTGTTTCACTCTGTTTTTTTACGTAGAACAAAGATTAGTTACCGGGCCTAACCATGATGGGAGTTATTAATATGTAGCATTAGACACTGAGTGTTATCTAATTTGCAAACCAAGATCCTCCACCCACTTGCCTACCCTGTGTCTTTTCCATATAATAATGACTGATGTAGACAATTTTGGGTTGTTAAATGTGTAAAAATCCCAAGAACGTAAAACAGATTTAAACCATCAAAATTAAAGCAGTTTTAAAATGCACTATAACAATAAACATGGACAAATGTATAACTGTGTTGTTCATTTTTGCCCATCAAGCATTGACAACTTCCAATTTGTTCAAGCAGCATCTTGAATGATGTGATTCAGTGGTCCCTTTTCCTTTCCTTTTACTAAAATTATGTGGTGTTTGAGTGATTCACATACTCAAGAAGTGACCGATCTAAGACTCTTCGGATAAGAGCTTCCTCAATTATATTAAAATCCTACAATAAAGAAAAAATAATTAGAAATATTCAGATTCAATAGTATTTCAGAAACTGGAGGATGAAGGTCAAGGCAACACCCTCATTTTGCAGGGAACTAAAGTTAGGAGACTTGTCCGAGGTTCCACAAAGCCTGTCATAGAACCCAGGACTTTTGCTTTGGGGCTAATGAATTTTCTACTTCACTTTGCTGTCTATCTATTAACTAGTTACTGTTATACTAAAAAGTCTTGACTGGAAACTTGAAGTTTTTATCTGATGTAAATAGAAGTTTTTAGTCAACATTACAAATCCTGGTCGGAGTGTTATGTTCCACACAAACCTGTAAAATAGAGCAAAGTTCAGGCATCCCCGCAGTCTTCACCAATGCCAGCAGTACTACTGAATAGCTATTTTGGAAGAAAATGTTAAAAACAAAACTTTCTCCTTGCCTCTCTATGTGTCAAAGTGGAATTCAAAACTCATGTCAGCACATTCTATAAGTAAAACAAAAGCCATTAAGAATACTATCCTCTGCAATCCCTCTCCTCTTCCGTAATAAGAAAAGGAGAAATCTCTATTCAAAGTCCATTCTGCAACATAAAAACAAACAAACAAAAACCCCACAAAAATCCAAAGAAAAGCCATAAAGCACAGTAGAGCACAAGGTTTGGTCTTGATACTACTGGCTTGTTCTTTGGTGATTTAGTTAACTTTTGAGCTTCAGATATTTCAGTTAAATTAAGATAAAAATACAGTATTCACTTTTCACGGAAGTTGCTGCAAGGAATGAAATGTGATAGGTACATAGAATGCTTAGCTTAGTATATAGTAGCCCAGTAAGCAAAAAAATAAAAACAAAGAACACTACTTCAAGCTCACTTTCATACCCAAGAATATAGCTGTGAGTGGCTGGAAAATATTCTTATCAAAGTGGCTTCATCTTGACTAGCTCTGGATCATGCTTTGTCTGAAAGATCTTGAGAATAGACTGAACACGATTAGCCAGAGGAGGCATAGAATCCACCTGGCTTTTAGAACATCTCATAGAGCTAAGATAAAGAGAAACCCCTTTGTATTACCAGAGAGAACACAAAGACCAGAACCAAGTTCTGTTGAGGCCTGTGTGCTGTACAGGCCACAAAAGACATGCTTAGAGATAAGGACTGGAGAATTTAAAGCCTCTGTCATGTTCCTTGTTCAGTTCCTCAAGTGGTCCTAACAATTCCACTCCATCCCATCTCCAACTTGTCTAACATCTGCTCCTGAACTATGCAAATCACTTTATATACATTAGCTCATTTAATCCTCAAAAGAGTTTTGGGAGTAGTTGCTTTTAATCTCTTCCCTTAAGCAATGGACAAACTGAGTTTCAGAGGTTAAATACCTTCTACAAGGTCACACAGGTGACAGAGCTATTGCTTAAAACTAGTTTAGAGTCCAGATATGGTGGCTCAAGCCTGTAATCCCAGCACTTTGAGAGGCTGGGGAGGGCAGATCACGAAGTCAGGAGTTCAAGACCAGCCTGGCCAACATGGTGAAACCCTGTCTCTACCAAAAATACAAAAAAATTAGCAGGGCGTAGTGGCGCAAACCTGTAAGGGTAGCACCCTGCTACTCGGGAGGTTGAGGCAGGAGAATTGCTGAACCCAGGAGGCAGAAGTTGCAGTGAGCAGAAATCAGGCCACTGCACTTCAGCCTTGATGACAGAGCAAGACTCTGTCAAGGGGAAAAAGAAAAAAAAAAACAAAAACCTAGTTTAGAAACAGAGGTCCCGGCATCCTATCTGGATAATAATAATAGGCAGATAGAAAACATGGAGAAAATTCTTAAATGACGATTTCCAATCATTATTAAAATGTATCTAGAAATTGCATTTCATTTTTTATGTAATTTCATCTCAGCTAATAAGCTCTCGATTTAATAATAATTATTACTATGTATAGGAAGAGACTAGAGTAAAAAATAATTTAAAAACTAAGTCTGGCCGGGTACGGTGGCTCATGCCTGTAATCCCAGCACTTTGAGAGGCTGAGGTGGGTGGATCACAAGGTCAGGAGTTCGAGACCAGCCTGGCCAAATGGTGAAACCCCTTCCCTACTAAAAATACAGAAAAATGCACCATGTGGTGGTGCATGTCTGTAATCCCAGCTACTTGGGAGGCTGAGGTAGGAGAATTGCTTAAACCTGGGAGGCGGAGGTTACAGTGAGCCAAGATTGTGCCATTGCACTCTAGCCTGGGCGACAGAGTGAGACTCTGTCTAAAAAAAACAAAAAACAAAAAACTAAGTCTGACACTTTGTTATACAATTATTGCGATTTTCTAGATTTAGAAAATTGCAATGAAATAACCTCATCTAGGATCCAGGGAAAACACTCCTTTTTTTTTTTTTTTTTTTTTGAGTTGGAATCTCACTCTGTCACCCAGGCTGAATTGCAGTGGTGCGATCTTGGCTCACTGCAACCTCCACATCCCTGGTTCAAGGGATTCTCCTGCTTCAGTCTTCCAAGTAGCTGGGACTACAGGTGTGTGCCACCATGCCCAACTAATTTTTTGTATTTTTAGTAGAGATGGGGTTTCACCACGTCAGCCAGGGTGGTCTCCATCTCTTGATCTCATGATCTGCCTGCCTCGGGCAGATCCCAAAGTGCTGGGATTACACGCGTGAGCCACTGCGCCCAGCCTAATTTTTTTATTTTTAGTAGAGGTAGGAATTCACCATGTTGGCCAGGCTGGTCTCAAACTCTTGACCTTAAGTCTCAAAGTGTTGGGATTACAGGCATGAGCCACTGTGCTGGGCCAAAACATTCTGTTTTCATGATTTCCTACTTAAGGCTAAAACTCAACACTAACTATATACACATTATTTCCTCTATAATTTTATTCACTTTATTACTTTATTAGAAAGGTAAGCTCAACAAACAGACACCATAAAAACATAATGTAAAAATAAGAAAACATACTTACTATGAAATCATCATAAAACAAAGTGTGACTAACTTGCAGATGTCTTATTAAACTGCCACTGAAGCTGGTTGGATTCTCATCAGGTATTAAACGGCAAAGTGGACAGAACTGGAAACAAAAAAGACCAGGGGTTCAAGAAAGAATTTAAAATAGTTATTAGTGTCAAAATTTAAAGCAACAGGTAACCATTCAAAAACTCTCAACTTTATTAATCCATTAGCCACACGTCAGTATTATGTTATAAAATTACATATACATCAAAGTAACATTAAGCAAATAAAATTGTATTTCTTCATACGCATACATAACAATATAACTGTTTGTTTCATAGTCATAAATTTATTAAACAATATTACAGTTATTAGATGTACCATAATTTACTTAATTAGTTTGCCTACCTCTTGGAACACTTGTTTTGTATGTGGATATTTTATTATCGCAAATGAGAATAACTATAGTGTTTACCTTTTAGGGGATTAGTTTCTTAGGAGAAATGGCCAGAAATGGCAATTACCAGGTCAACAGCTATGAACATCGGCCGGGAGTGGTGGCTTGCGCCTGTAATCCCAGCACTTTGGGAGGCCAATGCAGGTGGATTACTTGAGGCCAGGAGTTCAAGACTAACATAGCCAACATGGTAAAACCCTATTTCTACTAAAAATCCAAAAATTGGTCGGATGTGGTGGCACATACCTGTTATTCCAAATACTCGGGAGGCTGGGACAGGATGATTGCTTTAAAAAAAGATTTTACCAGGTGTTGCCTGTACTCGTATTTGCGTGTGTGTGTGTATGTGTGATATAGTTTGGCAATTTTTCCCTGCCCAAATCTCGGATTGAAATGGTGGCTCAGGCCTGTCATCCCAGCACTTTGAGAGGCAGATCACTTGAGGCCAGGAGTTCGTGACCAGCCTGGCCAACATGGTGAAGCCCAATCTCCACTAAAAAGACAAAAAACTTTAGCTGGGT